ACATTAGTTTCGCTACCTCTGAGTACTTCTGTGTATTTGTTTACGCGTATATTTCAAATATTTGGTGCTGAAAAGCATTACACTTAGTTACATAGGTTACATATGGGTCCGTATAAGTAAATGGTGTCTTCCATTCGGATAAACTGAATATAGACTATAGTGTTTTTATACATTGTATATATTTCAACATGTAATCACAAGACGTGGTGACGGTACAGTCATGTTTCTTCAACTTATATTGTCTGCCGGGTTGGTTTTACTGAATATGTTAATTGTAAATTTCGGCGCAATTCAGTTTTAAATGCAAGGCCGATTTCCCCCGTGTTTCATCAATAAACAAATTACTACTTCTACTACTACTACTACTACTACTACTACTACTACTACTGCATGATACAATATTGAATAAGGTTTTCATACTATAGTTTCATACTATAGCCTCTTGAGGATGCATGGACAAAGTTTACTGAAACGGTGCACTCTGTGTCAGCCGAGGTGCTGGGTGATCGTCCGAGAAAAAGACGGCAGCAGCATCTATCGCAGGTCACCAAAAACCTGATCAAGAAGCGGGCTGAGGTCAAGAAGCGCGACCCCACACTTGATCTCAACCGGTCCGAGTACTCCAAACTTAACAAGATGGTAAAGAAGAGTTGTAAGGCCGATGACAACAATTGGGCGTTGGGGGTTGCCACAGAACTGGAAACTGCAGCGGGTAATGGGAAGCAGAGAGAAGTCTGGCAAAAGATAAGAATTCTTTCAAACAAGCGTAGCACGAAGTCCTCAGCAGTAAGAGATAAATCTGGCAAGCTAATTTCTGATCCTGAATCCCAAAGAGAACGCTGGGCTGAGCATTTTTCTGAGTTGCTGAACCCTCCACAAGACAGTGTTGACCTAACAGTACTAGACAGTTTACCAGGTATACCTTGCTTTCAATATCTTGGGGAGGAGGATGGCCCGCCGACAGTTGAGGAAATTCAGAACGCCTTGAAAAGACTGAAGAACCACAAGACTCCGGGCGTGGACGGTGTATTCAATGAGCAACTGAAATATGGTGCACCTGGCTTGACGAAAACCCTGGAAACTCTCTTCGCCAAGATTTGGCATGGCGAGGCTATCCCCGAGGATTGGTCCAAAGGCATAATTGTTGTATTACCAAAAAAGGGGGATACTACACACTGCGCCAACAATCGAGGTATAACGCTTAGATCAACTGCCTCAAAGCTCTTTCAAATTATTGTCCTGGGACGTCTGAATGAGGGTCTGGAAAATCTACTGAGGGACAATCAGTGTGGCTTTAGGAAGAATAGATCGTGCATCGACCAGATTTACTCCTTGCGAACTATCATTCATAACAGCATCGAGTTTAATATTCCCCTGTACATTAACTTCATTGACTTTAAAGCTGCTTTTGACAGCATCAACCGTGAATTTATCTGGAAGGCCTTTGCTTTTTATGGATTGCCAGGGAAATACATCAGGGTTTTGCAGGCCTTCTTCCACAAGACTGTCAGTGCAGTGAGAGTGAACGGAGAGGAATCAAACTGGTTCGATGTGACATCTGGGACTGGACAAGGGGACATTCAGGGGCCCCCAGTGTTTAATGTCTGCATAAACTTGGCAGCACACTTAACTGAGTTAAGCAAACAAGTCAGTACAGGAGCAGTGTTGCAGCAGGATAGTCATGGCAAGCCGTTGGTCTCTGTTTTGGATACGGACTATGCTGATGACATGGCTTTACTTGACAACAAGAAACTGGGTCTACAGGAGACAACTGATCTATTATGCAAAAACAGTGCTCTTGCGGGACTTAAGGCCAACGCCAAAAAGACGCAAGCTATGTCAGTCGGCAAGCATATTGCACAGCAGCCTTACACTGAAGAAAGCACACTCAGGATCACGGTAGATGGATATCCCGTGGAGCAGGTTACTCACTTTACTTACCTGGGAGGTACAATCAGCAGTAACGGGACAATTGACTCTGAAATTTCCAAACGGATTCAGAAAGCTTCTGGTGCTTTAAACTTACTTGGTAAGATCTGGAACAACAGGAACATCCTTCAGTCGACAAAATTTCGGATATACAATGCTGCTGTTGTCACCATACTTACCTACGGTAGTGAAACTTGGACTACTACCCAGGTGCAGATAGCGAGACTTGAAACGTTTCATCAACGCTGCTTGCGCCGTATCCTCCGCATCAGATGGTATCACCGGGTACGGAACAGTGATGTACTGCTGCAGGCACAGTTAGTGAACATAGCCACAACCGTAGCTTTCAACAGGCTTAGGTGGTTTGGGCACATTGTAAGAATGCCTGAAGAGCGGCTGCCCAGGTATCTACTAGACTGGAAACCGAACTATGGGCGACGTTCTAGGGGAAGGCCTAGGAAGTCATGGAATAACTGTGTCCTGGAAGATGCTGTGCTGATCTTAGGGAGGCCCAGTACCAGTCTAGAAGAGTTAAAGGAATTAGCAAGAGATAGGAAGGAGTGGAGAGGACTGTTGAGGAAGAGACGAGTTCTGTGCGCAGGCCACTCGAACGACTGACTCGAGGAGACCTCAACAAGTACAAGTACAAAGTACTATAGTTAATATTTAGTTCAAGTTAACCCTCAACAGTACACCTTCCCGGACTGATTAATCTGTACACCTGGGGTCCGCGCGGACCCCAAGACAGTTTTTTGCTAATTTTTAGAATTATCAACATACTACCAGCTCAATTGCATTGCAAATTGATGTGTGAACCTCTGAGACCACATTACGTACAAAAATCATGCATTTTGACCTTTTCCTATTTTTTGGTGAAGAAAACACAAAAAGAAGAAATACCCAATTTTTGAACCCTATTCAGATCGAGTGGTTTTTTGAGGCCCGCGCCAACTTTAATCTCAAATAGCGCATGAACGGCTTCAGCTAGAACCATGAAATTTGGTGGACACTTCTTAGATGTATCTGGAAAAAAATTCATATTACTTAAATAAGTTAATGATTTTTTGTGTTGCCATGGCAACGGGTTTATGACAGGTTGAGTTTTATGGGAGTTTTATGGGAAAATCAGTAATTTTGATTTAAACATTAAAATTTTCTGGGTTTTATATTAAATAACTGTTCCTTTCTGACATTAACATCTTACATAAATAACGATAAGTTAAATCATTTAGTTTTAATAATATATGCTAATTTGATGACGTAATTGGTCAAAATCCAAGATGACGTCATAATTACACCAAAGTTAGAATTTAATTCTATTATTACACCGTTCTCTGAAAAGTCGGTGGTCATAAGATAAGTGTCTAAAAAACATATAAAAACCGAACTAAAGTGATGTATAAGAACGCCAGTGTATGATTACGATCGAAAGCCGGCTGGGGTCCGCGCGGACCCCAAAAGAAAATCAGATATAAAAATTTTTTAACTGTATTGAGGGAAAACTTTGTGGGTTACAATTACCTGAAATGTAAGAAAAAAATCTTAAGAAACAAAAAAAATACTACAGAATATATAGTGCTGGGGTCCGCGGTATTCTTTCCCATTGCTAGGGGGGTTCGAAAACGTATCGGGTTACAAGACACAAGTTTGGCCTGTTTTGGACTACCCGTAAACCACTTGAAAATAAACAAATAGTATTGAAGGGTAAATTCCGTCACAATAAAATGAAATTATCGTCGTTACATAGGTTTAATGTTACTTGTTTATGTTCAATTACCAATTTTTAAAAATCTCGCTCCGAAAGACAATTTTTGCGGGATTTGGAGCGCCAGTCCGAGACAGTCCGAGTCATGTTTTTAGGCAAACCGTTTAAGATTGGCTACGTGTATTACCCAAAATCCCCAATTTTTATATTTTTCGACGACTAGGAATAAGATCAATAATCGTGTCTTAGGAATTTTTTAAATTTCTGATTTTAAGTATAGTTTTTGTTGACATAAATGTCAAAAAACGGCATTTTGGACATTTTTCGAACTAAATTTCTCATAATTCAAAATCAAAGTCTTTTTTCGAAAATCCCTACGACACGATTCTAGACAAACCCGTTACGGTCATTTTGAGCCGTCAATGAGATATGTTGGACTCTCCATGCTTCCAATCTTAAACGAGTTTTGCACGCATGTCATACGGCATGAATATGAGCAGTGTTTATTTAGGCTGGCCAATACAAGCATTGCGACCCACGACAACGGCAGTAGCTTCGTTTCATGTTCCAGCCCACTACAAAATGACGGCAGACATGTGATTGTCCAGGAAATGGTTTATAGTTGTTAAAAGGTGGATTTTTTCTATTAGGAGGTACACATGTAAAAAGGGGCCGGAAAACCCAGGTTTACTGTAAATGACCGCGGGTGACCCCATTTCGAACACCGTTCTATTCGAATTACGTCAGATCGAACATGGTTCGGGTTCTACTGCAGGTGGGGAGATCGGGGCCCAATTTTGACCACCGCGCTGCGTTAATTATCTATCTTTGTAAGACTTTTCTTTGATCTGTATATATATATATGTCATTAATCGAGCTCATATAGCACAAGTTGACTATCTCTCTCTCTCTC